TTTTTTTTTTTTTCTTTGAAACAGCTTTAACTTCTTAAATGAAGCAAGTAATAATATGGGGAAATTTAACATCATGTGATACGGAATTTTTAAATAAATTGTTACCACAAAATTGAAATGGAAGGAGAGACATGTATTAATAAAATTATTACTAGAACTTGTATATACTAATAAAATTATTACCAGAGAATGTATTTTAAAAATGACTCTGGTAAATTTAACATAAACGCAGCTTTTCCTCTCAGATAATATTATCATTAGAATACATAGGATACATACATAACGATAACTCGATATAGTAGTAAATTCAAACGCACAATTTGATTCTTTATCGAATCTTTAATTTTAATGTTCTTTTAGAACAATTTCGGTATAGATTATCCTATAAATTTTTTATATAATAAATTTAACTTAATTGAAATATTAAATTAAATAATTATTATATACAAATTAAATTTAATTTAAAAAAAACTAGATATAAATAAATTCGAAAAACATTTAATTTCTAAATATATATTAATATTTTTTGTTCTACAAAAATAATTAATTCTATATATATATATATGTATATATATATATATATATATATATAATAGTGTTTTGTCAAATCGACTTTATTGAGTCTAAAATAAATGATCTAAATATATATAAATATTTTTGCCCACAGTTTTTCGGAAAGACTCTAGAAAGCAAAAATAAGGAAAGAGAAAGAGGAAAGTGGACTGCTAAAATAGCCGAATGACAATGAACGCCGTTCACAGAAGTGAAATTTTACGGTCACGTTGATGCCAAGCCCGGTTTCGGAACGTTTCTCTCAAAGAAGAAACGAATCGTGCCCTCGAATCGCCGCGAGGTCCTCAAATTCAAACTCGATAGTCCATGGAGAACCCTCGCAGCTGCCCTTGTCCCGTTCCAAGCTCGTTTTTTACATGAAGTAATTTTTAGGGTGCCGACCGAACTGTGACCATCGAAACGAAGGGTAAGAGAAAGAGAGAGAGAGAGAGAGAGAGAGAGAGAGAGAGAGTAGAGGGGGTTGTAAGAAGTTTTCTCTCGAAGAAGAAGAAAGAATCGGGGCACACCGTTTCGAGTGTCGTAGCGCCCCCAATCCCACGGCCACCTTTCTCTTCTTTTCCAACCCCTCGAGATGTGAAACTCCGTCGGAATACTCTATTAGGAACAGTGCACGATTTTTGGAGATAATGATCCCCGAACTTTCCCAATGGCTTCCACCCCCATCCCCCGTACTGTGACGATGTATAGCCTTTTAACTCGCCGCGGATTACGCGTAACTTTCTTCCGTCAAATATTTGAAGTGGCGTTAATAAGAGAGATTAGGTTTGTTCCTTCCCTTCTGTATGGCCTTTGGCTCAAGTTGCAGAACTTTCTTAATAATATTTGCAACATTGTCTGAAATATATATATATATATATATATATTATATATTTTGATATAGAACAGATGAAAATGATACGATTCAAGGTGAGCAATGTAGTAGCGACTGAAACGGAAAGTCGTTTGCCGAGGAGGGAAACGCGTCAATCGCAATTATGCCGTTGTCGACACATATATTTTGTATTAATCCTCGTCGCGTGATTGATAGACAGATAGATAGACGTTTCTTCTGTCGGCAGAAAGCGATTAACAACCGCAGAAGAAGTAGATCTTGAACTGTCCTGAAGAATCGTTGTCGTTTCTTCGTTCTTCTTTTGTTTACTATGCCGACCGGTTTTCCGATGAATTTTCTTCCACGAAAGAAGAATCACCGGCTTCCAAGTTCCTGAAATTACTGAACTACTGCAATGTGTACAGCCATTTCTGCTTCGTAATTTAGGTTCCTCGGATCGATGACCTTGAAAATGATGAATTTTTATGACGAGTTGAAAGAAATATATATGGCTGTTAATCTACTTAAAAATGAGTGTGGCCATGAAATAAATAATAAAAATGTTATAAATGTTGGCAAACAACTACCAATAAATCGTCTATTTAATTTACTAATAGAACCTTTGAAATTTAAGTCCCCTAATTGGGAACGGAATGCAATAGAGGGTTAAAATTCTAGAAACGTGCAATTTTCAATTGTTCATAATTTTCGAGGTTTCGCTTTAACCTTCTGCAAGTTCATATCCAGATAATTTCTTCTATTTCAGTCACGTCGATAAAACAATCAATAGTCCAAATTACAGAAACGTCAGATATGTACGCGGTGGTGCCTGCCACGTTATTCATGGCCATCATCGATCCTCAGAAATTCACCTTGCTCCTCGTATTCCGCCAGCTCACTCTTGGGACCTGGGTTTTTGTTCCGTTTCCCGTGTTTCGGCAGTTTCTCGAACCAAAAGGGGGAGATAGAGACACGCGTGGCCGAAGGGTTGCACGGAAAGTGAGTTTTCCAGTGAGCCACCCTTCCGCTTTTTCTTCTGCTTTTCACGCAGCCACGCTTGCGCCCGCGTTTTTCCTTTTCCTCCTGAGAATGCTACACAGGGTGACGTTACACATTTTATCACCGTTGGAAATGTCCATGTTTTAATTTTAAAATATATATGTATAGCAAAACGTGACGATAAATCTAAAAATCCATAACTTACAGACATTTGCGTAGTGCTTCGCGATTTAGAATTTAGTTTGCTTAAATATTTCTTTCAACACTGCACCTTGATTGTTAACGAGCATTTTTTCGCAAAAGGTCTCCTTAACAATAATAACGTCAGTAAGGATGATAATAGTGACGACAATAAGTTTAACATTGTTTTCAGATGTGAAGTGAATAAACGAATCATTACTCGGGTAGATGAGTTGCCATTTCTTCCCCTGCACTTACATACCTACAACTCAGGTCATGGTCATAGTGGATGAGAGCAACTCTAACTGTATTAACCGAAATGACCGCAAATCTAATTGACTGATTATTAACTGAGGATCTCTGATGACCTCATTCTTCTGTTACAATAATACTGTCACGATATAACGAGATCTTTATCGATGCAGTGACATGTCCAGACTTTCTATATCACTAAAAATTAAAAATGTAGGAGTAACAATTAAGTTAGCAAGAAATCCGAGTCACAAGGGACAGATTTCAAAGCACATGTAGCACGATACGACATGATAAAAGTAAGCGACTAGAGACAATCCCGTCCCGTTCTGTCCTCTTATCTTTTTTATAATGGTCAGGCAAGTTATTTTCTCATCGAGACAATGACAGTTACTCCACCCTGTATAGGCATCGGCGAGGCGAAGAGCGGAGAGAAATTCTCGTATATCTTCAGCTCGCCGGCGGCAGCACTCAGCCTTCGGGATAAGTTCGTTAGAGTGCTCCGCTGTCTTGTACTCGAAGACACTCCCGAAGGACGAGAAGGGTCGTACGGTATTACTCTCACCTTGCCCTTCGTAGGCTCCCTACACCCTCGACTGTCTTTTAATTTCCAGCGTTTCCACGACCGTTCAATTTTCGCAATTTACGGGTCCGTTTAACCCCGGTAGCTGCTTTCCTCTCTTTTTCTTGCCATTTCTTTTATTTATCCGAGAGATGATTCAAATGAGCCGTGGGTAAATGAGATAATTCGCTAACTTCAGGGTATTTGTTGGTGAACCAAGTAATGAATTTTCACGTGATGTTCGAGCGGGGTTGGATTTTGGTTTTATATAAATTAATCGTAAACCTTTATTTAATTGCTTTAGTTAATTATTAGTAAGTAATTTGAGTCAGTTAATCACTTTGCTCAGAATTCTCATCACTTGAACATGTTTTGTATAATCGAAGGAAGCGGATACATTTTAGGGCACTTAACTTTAGGGGACTTGAATTCATTGGCAAATGTGCCACTCAATACTATCGAGTGAAGATAGAACTCTGCTGATTATGTATCTGTGAAAGTCGATAGCGGGAAGTTCGATTGCATTAGAGCCGATATCAGGATGATCCTGTTGAAAGTATTTGTAGAGTGAGATATAGATCAGTCTGGACTTGCGAGACTCAACGCTGGTGATCCAAGACTTGAGAAATTCGATACTCACGTCTTCAAAGTCGTGAAATTCGATATTGGTAATACAGAGCTTATGAAACCAAATACCATAGATACCGGAAAGTATATATACAATACAGGCGACATGCGAGTCGTGAAATTAGATACAGGTTAGGTTTGGAGTAATTAGACTTCATGCTATTGACTTCATGCTATTGTAGACCCATATAGGGTATTATACACTTTTATTAACACTAGAACTATCACAGTCAAAATGACTGATTTTACAATTTTATTTTATTTTATTTTAAAATTTCTATTTCATGTTACATTTTGTTTTCGCAATGATTTGCAGTGATAGCTAAAGAAATAATACAATGAATTTTATTTTATTTTTACCTATTAGAAATCAAAATAATTTCGTATCATGGCTACTTATACCAATACCAGTCAAAATGACAAAATTAGATACAGGTTAGGTTTGGAGTAATTGGACGACTTCATGTTATTGACGTGTACTGTGGACCCATATTATATATACTTTTATTAACACTAGAACTACCACAGTCAAAATGACTGGTTTTACAATTTTATTTCAAAATTTCTACTTCATGTTACATTTTGTTTTCGCAATGATTTGCAGTGATAGCTAAAGAAATAATACAATGAATTTTATTTTATTCTAATTTATTAGAAATCAAAATAATTTCGTATCATGGCTACTTATACCAATACTAGTCAAAATGACAAAATTAGATACAGGTTAGGTTTGGAGTAATTGGACAACTTCATGCTATTGACTTCATGCTATTGTAGACCCATATAAGGTATTATACACTTTTATTAACACTAGAACTACCAGTCAAAATGACTGGTGTTACAATTTTATTTCAAAATTTCTACTTCATGTTACATTTTTTTCTCGTAATGATTTGCAGTGATAATTAAAGAA